GATATTAATATCCACTACTAAATTAGCTAACTAACTATCTTATAGTTTATATATATTATTACTACCTAAGGTAAATACTATAAAATCTTTTTAAATAATACTTATTATAGTATATTTCTCCTGCTTTATATCTTACTTCTTATTAGCTTACTTAATTACTCCTTCTATTATACTATATAGCTTTAGGTTTGACTACTTAAGATATTTAAATTTTAATTTAATATTAGTATCTAGTTTCCACCTATTTAGTCTTACTAATTTAATAAGATAAGGATACTTATTAAAGGTATACTTCTTACTATAGGGATAGTTATCTTAACCTTACTTAGGCTATTTATTTCCATAATTCTAATTAGTTAAATTAGAATTTAATTTCTGTAAGGATTATCCTTTAAATATAGTAAAGATAGCTTTCTATTCTCTCTGACTAAGGGATTACTAGTATTTCTAAAACTTATAGATCTTATTAAATATATTAAGAGAGTAGTCCTTATCTAATTTATTTAATCTAATCTTAGTATATATATTATCTATATTCTTTAAGGCTATAAGGAAGCTCCTAGTACCTTTATATCTAATTAAAGTTATTATCTCTAAGTATGTATATTTACTTATAATATCTTTCTAATTATCTAGCTATTTCTCTATACTCTAATTAGTTAGTTTTAATCTAAGTTTATTATACTAAGCCTTTATAAGTATAATTAAATCTTCTTTCTTTAGTTCTATCTTAGCTCTTATTTTCTAGTATATCTTAACCTTATAATCTAATTTACTAGTAAGGTACTTAAGATACTTATATATTATTATTTACTTAATTACCTACTAGATAGCTGTAAGGCCTTTCTTTATTCTCTCCTATTCCTTATACTTATACTTCCAGGTGGTTAACTAATATTAGTATAAGGTATTAGGGTCTAGGTTTAATATAGCTAATTAGCTTACTTATACTTATTTACTTACTTATAGCTACTAGCTTACTTAATTTACTATAGCCTTATTATTATCTAAAGAATTATTTCTTAGTGCTTCTAGTGCACCTCTTTAATTAGTTAATTCTAGTTCTAAATTATTAGGGTAAATTAGTTTTATTAGTAAAGGTGTCTTCTATAGGAGTATATCTAATACCCTATAACTCTGTGCTAAGCTAATAATATAAGAATTCTATATCTACTAATCATCTGGTGTATCTAGTAAGATAGAGATCTTTATAGCAGATATAGTAGGCATTAACTCAGCATAATATTCTATAGTTACTTCTCAGGGTGACAGTAGCTTTAAATATCATTAAATCTTCCTAATTAGGTAAGTTAATTCTAATAAGATATCTCTCTAATTCTAATGAGATAGAGCTTAGTCCAATATCTAGTTGCTAATAAGGAAGAATAGGTCTAGATAAATAATTCCTATGCATCTCCTAAGGGCAGGCCAGGCTCATAACTCTTGAAATAAGATATAGCTAAGAAGTTTAGTATACACTATGAAATAGTATGTAATCAAGAAATTAATAAAGGTCTAATTCTTTAGAAATGAGTGACTATCTAGCCTCTATTTATACCTTTAAGGTGGTAAACATGAAGCTATTCGCATCCTTGAGATATCATAAGTAGCGTTGCTGATTCTCTATAGTATGAATGTCATCAAATATTCTGCCACATAAGCCAATTCAAATACCTTCCAATACTTCCCAATCTAGTAAGCGGTAAGATAATCCAACATATTTCCTCTCTGGGGAAGTCTGAATAAGTGTTATATAAACATGAGAGACATACAAACAATTGTCATTAGGCACCAGGCAGAATGACCATCATTAATATATTATTGCTTAGCATCCATTATAATATAGACAGTAATCATTGCCCATTCAATTAATCAGAAGGTCGCATATGATACACCCTGGAGACTCGGAGTGCTCGCCAGACGTATTAAGAATTCGTCCAGAGGGCATGGTTCAAATTCGTCTCACATCAATTCTTCGTTGCCGAACTTGCGGCTGTAAAGACCCAGAGCTCGAATGGACCAGTAAAACTTGTAGTTGGGATACGAGATCATGCTAGGCCTGGGTCAGCTATTGCCAGGGCAAATAGGTTTGCAAACACAAATACTTACCAAGATTGGTTGAAAACGCCCTCAATGGATTCTTGCAACCACTCCCCGTTTGGTTGCTGCCGTGACATGAGCAGCTTCATGGCTTTCTGCAGTGGCTCCTTGTGTGGATATCCCGCCTCCATTAGTGCAAGACAAGCCCAAGCAGTTTGCGTTACTTGGGACTTTTCATGTTGAACGTAAACATGTTTCTCACTGCTGAGATAAGACTCGCCCCATCCTCCGTCCTCCTTTTGCTTGGAGAGAAGGAACTCGCAGCCCCGGCGCGAACACTCGCTGGTCTCGTAAGTCTCCCCGATACTGGCCAGGCTTTCCAGGGCAAACATGGCTGCATAGGTGAAGCAGATTCCCCAAGCTCCGTACCAGCTTCCATCCCGTCTCTGCACGCGTTTGATATACTTCACAGCCTTGTCTTTCGCGCTCTTGATCTCGTCGGCCCGGTAATCAGGGTAAAATTTGCTGAAAAGCGAAAGCGCGGTGACAGAAGCGGTGGTACATTCGGGATAGTCATAACCGATCATGATTCCGCCAAACACTTCCGCAGCATTGAGCCACTCCAGCTTCTCGGAGCCACGGGTGGTTTCGTACTCAGTGAAGCCACCCGAGGGGTTTTGCATCAGCAGTAAGCAGTCAACACTGTCTTTTAGGCGCTCCACGGAGATCAGCTTTGGATAATTGTGCATCTCCTGCAGTTGAATTGTCGACCGCAAGCCCTCCGCTGTGCAATCACTAACTGTATAGCCTTGTGTCTTGTTACTGAATGGCCACGCGCCCTTTCGGTGTTGACGGTAGCACTTTTCTTGATCTGGGACGTTCTCCCGAAGCTGGTGATCTTCAAGGAACTCCAAGGCTTTGGTGAGCATTGGTCGCCACTTGGGGTCGTCTGCGAAACCAGCAACGACAATAGCTTGCGTGATGAAAGCGGTATCCCACACTTGGACTCCGTTGGTTCCATTCATCAACATGCCTTCGTTCTTCATCCACATGTAATCATTCAAACGCTCACGATGGCGACGGACAGAATAGCTGTCTGGCCCATCATGGACATAGCAAGCTACCATGTTCATCGGGTTGCTCACGGGGCCTAAGCCTGCATAGTCCGTATTCTCGTCTTCCATTCTGATCAGCTCCCAGGTCCAGTCCTCTGCGCGTTTCACCAATGCAGAAAATCGGAGGTAGGGATTCCAGACAGAGACGAGAAGTTGGTTGAGCAGGTTTAAAAGCCAGGTCTTGGGATAGTAGTTATCGGCTTCATGAATTGAGTTCCGGTGACTCGCAAAGTCGATAGAGTCATAAGGCTGAGTGTACAGCTCCTGGCGCAACTGTTTGGTAAGCGGGTCTAGAGGGTGGGTGAATTTCTTGGACCATAGGTACGACATGGGCAAGAATACTTGGCGTATATGGATCCACCACCGCCAAGGTGCAAAGGGAACCCAGTCCGGAAGCAGCCTACACGACTGTTAGGCTCTTGTTGATATTTCACAAGAGAATGTGCGGAAAGCAACGTACCAAATCTCAGGCGGGACAGGATTGACGCAGTCCCATTCCATGACACCGAGGACACTGAGCCAAAATTTCGCCCAGTGAGGCCCATAGGCGGCACCGCCAAACTTATGTAAGAGCCCGCGGGCTTTGATCATACGAGGGTCGTCCTCGCTGACACCAATCAGGCGCAGTGCCACGTAGTTCATGCAAGTACCAAAGACAGAGCTATGAGCCTCAATGTGCAAGCCCCAGCCGCCGTCTTCCGGGTGCTGACGAGCGAAGAGATACCTTTTGATCTCAGTCGCATACTCCGGCGGAATCGGAGTGTTGGTCACATAGTATGTGATGATGAGGCCCGGCAGCAAGAACATCGGGCCTCCGTACTCACAGGCCCAATTGCCTGGAGGAAGTTGCAATTTGGAGAAGAATTCCAAGCCATTCTCGGCGCACTGCAGTGGAGTTTTTGCTTTCGGCAGCTCTGGAAGACCCTGAGGTAGAATGGTCAGGTCTGTTTATGGCAAACATGTGGTTTCATGTCGGCAGGGGCGAAAGGTGTTACCGTAGGGAGTCCCAGAAAATGCTTGTCAGCGACAGATTGAGGCCATTTTTCATTTTCTTCATCAGATTCCAGGTAATGCCAGGTCTGGCGGCCCCGATCATCTAACAATCTCCATCTCGAATAGTCTGTTTTGAGGTCTCCGTTCTCGTCAGGACTCAGGTGATCCTGAGCTGCAGTTCTCCATGGGGCAATGGCGCCACCCGTCATTGTCTGTCTTTTGAAGAACTCAATTTTCGGAAATTCCACCGTTAAAGTTGAGGTTTATCTTATTACTTGGTCAATTAAAGGAATGCGTGTAAGATGAACAGGGGAAATAATGAAAAAAGGGCACCAATGGTTAAGAGCAGATCACATGTAGATCCGGGGCTGTTGACAGCATGAGCTTAGTCATCAGGGGCACAACTTATGCCCAAGATATGCATCAGGCAACACCTTTAACATGCATCAATAATATTACTGCTTCCTTCTGCACCTTAAGGATGGGGTTATTGGATGGAACAAAAATTATGGCTTTGGAAGATGGACTGAAGTGTGTAGAAGTTGTTTTGTTGACCGCGCTGTTTGAGTACCTATATTCTTATTATCTTGGTCCAGGTTATAGTGGCTGGGGGCAAGAATAGATTCTTCGACTCTGAGAAGAATTGAATTTGCATTGAAGCAGCTCAAAAAGACTTCATAAATCTGGAATTATCATGGCATCAGCGATCATTCCTGGACTTAGTAAAGGACTTGAGCCCCCGAGTCCCGTCACTGCTGTTTCGGTCTCAGAGTCACTTGACTCTAGCCTATTTACTCTTCTCCTCAATCTGTTGACACAACATAGTACACGACCATGAGCTAACCGCTAGCAATGGAGAAGATCCTGGACAATGCTGAATCAAGCTCAGCTAGACTGGTCGCGAATCAGGAGCAGTCCCAGAAAGATCGAGTCCAGACCTATATTGACAATACACTCATAGACATCCTCAATGAGCTACGGACGCCAGATGGTCGACCAACGCTGACATTGAAACGAAGATCCAGAGGAGTTCCCTTTTCCATCAATCCCGAAAACCTGGCTCTTGAGACCGAGGAGAAAGAAATACAATCATGCTACACCTGGCCGGGTAAGAATGCTTATGAGGCTTGGAAGTTTAGTACGAGATTTCATCTTCTCTGAAGATCTGACTCTGACTAAATTCTTGTTAGCTGCCATCATCCGAGGACTAGCAGTTATCGCGGAGGCGGTCCAAGCTGGTCTGGTAGTTTCCAAAAGGTTTCAATTACCTTAAAATAAGGTTAAGCCTCGAGCGCTGGCTGATGTGAGCAACAGAGACATCTATTACAGCGATCCAGCTTGCTTCGGTTCTCAGCAAATCGCTGACACCATAATTGATGATATTGCTCATACGATTGGGGTAGATCGAGCGGCGTTGAACGTGGTAATACATTCAGGTCGACACTCTGATTCGAATGTCCAGCTAACATCAGATGGCACAGGAAGCGGTAGCCAAAGGGCTGGTTGCGGGATATTATCGTCTGATGACCAAAGCTGGTGAAGTAATGGACGCTCGCTTCTCAACCAAGGTTGTTCAAGATTTTCACGCTTCTCCCGGGGATAATAATGACAATCAGATGAGCTAGGATTCCCTGATACCGAGGACGGAAGACATTGAAGCAATCGATGCTTCGGAGGCGAAATGGGTCTTGATCCTGGAAAAAGAAGTAAGAGATGATGTACCACCACGTATCTCACGCTGCCCACAGTGTGGTAACATGCCATTTCCAGGCGGTCTATCGTCGACTCTCGAGAAGCAGCTACCATACAAGAGCGGCCGCAGGCAAAGGTATATTGGTAACAGTAAGTTTCCCAAGGCTGGAACCACGACGTAGCAACCGACGGTGAAACACAGGGTAAAGGCTATCCGGACCTGAGCACGCGAGCCTTTGTTCGAAGACTGCTTGACGAGACTCGACATCTCCCCGCGGAGGAAGCCCCGCGCTTTTACGCTCTCGTTGATAGTGATCCGGATGGCATGGCAATCATGTCAACTTATAAATATGGCTCGATGGCGCATGCGCGTGACAACGAGAAGCTCAATGTTCCCAAGCTACGCTGGCTGGGACTCCGAACATCAGACGTCATTGAAGGTGCAGACTCATTTGGGGACGATGGTTTCATTCGACTGAGCCCGAGGGACAGAAAGAAGGCTATTGCAATGCTGTCAAACAATCCCGTGTGGGCAATAAATGGACCGGAGCAGGAATGGCGCGCAGAACTGCAGCAGATGCTCATGTTGAACTTGAAGGCCGAGATTGAGATTCTCTACGATCGGCAGGAGGGACTTGAAGGGTGGATCGATAAGAAGATGACCACTTCAAGCTGATACAACCGGACAACGAACTTTTGTTGATTCGACGCCGGAGTTATAAACTTTTCGATTGACAGTTGATGGAATGTAGAGGAAACAAGAAATCTATATCTGTGTCAACCTGTTACACAATGAGAAGAAATACTAACTAGCCGAAAGCGACATGCTGAGTGATAAAAAGGTTGAAAAAACAAGACATCGGGAACACACCAGTAACGCCATTGATCCGACCCAATCTCCTGATGGGTTGATAACCAGCCAAGCTTCGATGCTAGAAGTGCCACATGCAGTGACAGATAAACTCATAGCACGAGCATGGCTCAAAGCCTATGTACAGCCCCCGGGATAAATACCTTATGTACCCATCCAGCGCATTCGCATGTTGTTCACTACAGACCCAAGCCTTTCCTGACCTCATCACGAACCTTCCGTTCATACTCGCTTCTCCGTTCTCTCCACATCTTTGCCGCCTCGACATTGGCAGGACTTTCATCGTTGGGTTCTGCCAGCATGCTCATGACAGAGATTAGGATCTTCTCCACACTCTGAATGGGCGACCACCGCTCGGATGCATGCTCGTAATGGTTTGGATCATCACCGGGAGGATGAAGAATAGATATGCAGACGGTTCCGTTGGGATAGACTGTTAGGAGGACATATCAGTCACCGCATGAACTTGATGTCGAGTGAAGGGGGAAGAGGCAAGTTATTTCTCACCATTCGGATGCCACACCCCACCACCGACAAACTTCATTGTTGGCGGACTCAGCGGGTAATCTTTGGGAAACTTGAGCTCTGCTGCAAACACCCCTCCTTCGTACGGTGTACCCTCAGGACCTTGAATCAAGGCCTCCCAGTGGAACATATCATCCTCGCTGACTGGACCGGCAGAGATGCCCTCGGGTGGGCTTGTTGATAAGTTCTTATACTCGTGAAAGAGACGTTTCTGTGCGACGGAGGACATTGTGTAACTGAAGATCCAAAATTGGAGGAAAGTGAGCGAGCAGACTTCGAGCCGTAGCGACCAAAGAGCAGGAGAAGCGTTGATTTTGTGGCTGAAGTCGTGGAAGTGGGCTGCGGAGAAGTGGTGGTCGGTGGGGTTTCAAGGATCCCAATTCCCAAATGTGGACGCTATCTGAATGACTTTGAGTTAATTCTGCAAAAGAGTAAAGTGGATGGTCTAGAGATGGAGGATCAGTGGAAGGATGAAGGATGCTGCCGGAAGATATTATTCGGAGTACTCCATAGCTGACGACAGAAATGGAAACGGGTCTTGCCAGTTGCCACTCGGCAAGAATTCACAATTGGCTTCCCCGAGGATCGGCCCGCAAGGACGGAAGACCGATCATAAGTTCAATATGAGTTGCTGAATTGCTGCAACTAATTGAAAGGACAAGGCAAAGAAAGGGCTTGAGTATCTTACATTGAAATAATATCTACTTATAATACATTATTAGTCTACATGGAGCGATCTATATAGTGAATGATCTGGAGAGGTCCACCAATACGGAGTAGTTCCCATTGGTAATGAGAACTAAGAGAAATAAGCAGGTACAACATATGCCAGGGGTATAATCTTATTGCAATCATCAAAACCAGTCATAGTCATCATTCCCTCCTTCGCCCTCATCATCTGGCTCTTCAATGTTCCAGGGATCTTCAGGCCCGCGAGAGAACGGATCCTCCTGGTCCTCGGCCCAAATATCTCCGTAAGGGCCTGCTTGACCCGGAGCTGATGATGGCTGATCTGCCGAGTTTGGCTGCTGCTCGGGTGAGGGAGGATGCTGTGTGTTACTGTCTCCTGCCATGCCTCTTGATAACGCATCGTAACCAGCCATCGCTCCCGCACCAGCTGCTCCTGCAGCAGCACCTTCAGCAATTCCTCCAGCGGCGCCAGCCCTGCCAATGGTGCCCGCAGCCGCATCACCTACAGCCCCAGCTTCGCCAGCAGCGGCGCCACCGGCAGCGGCCTCTCCGCCAACGCCGGGGATCCAGATGGGCATGAAGCCGAAACCGCCAGCACCACTGTGACGACTAAAGTAATCGAAGTCAATACTTACTGCAGTGGCTAGCATTACTGCCCGTTGATCTAGTGTCATCCCAGTTGGCACATTTGCTTGTGAGGTCGATTGCTCGGAACCAAGAGCCGCAGAATCCATGCGAAGAGCATAGACACCAGTGTCTGTAAACAATTCCCGCGCGAAACCAACAAAATTTCGATTGACTGAGCCAATGAGTCGGCTGTCTGCCGAGCGTAGAGAGAAGTCCCATGACAAGAAGGGCTCATCTACATAGGCAAACTGATGGTATTCCCCAACATCTTGGCCACTTTCACTTGTTTGAGTCAATTGCATCTGCTGCGAGTTTGATAAGCCGGTCTGCGAAAGAGGTAATCTCTGAGTTCCCATTTCTGTGGTGCCAACAGGGGAGTGATGATAGGTGAAAAGGTTGTATTTCCGCCGCAACGGCGCCCACTGCTGCTGTGCTTCTCCAATGACACGCATATCCTCGAATCCCAAGGGCGAGATGCGAGCATTTGAGTCCCCCGTAGCTTGGACAAGTGACCCTGAAGATCCATTCTGGTCAGCGGTTGAAGACGAGAAGGCGCTTTTGGCAACATCAAGAGGGTCGTAAACCCGAATGCGAGAGTTGATCCAAGAGAAGGGGCGGTGAAACTGAAAGGCGTTAGAAAATTCATTTCCAAAACAATTTCACAACGGATGTAGACATACTCGAAGCACCTCGTTTTCGTGCCGATCAAACACATGCGTCACAAAACTTCGATGTGTTCGAAACCATTGTCGCGCCATCATATTCGCCATGCCCCTCTCTTGTTCGGCCATGTAGCCAATATGATTTCCATTTGCATCCATGATGACGTATTTGTTCGCCTGTTCGAATCCGCTGCGAATCGCTAGTTAGCTTTGACATGACCTTCCCTGCGATATATGAGGCTGCATACATCATCACATTCATCAACTCAAGCTGTCTTTGTATAACCAAACCAGAATTTGCCAATATTCCCAAGGCCGGATGTGTCTCTTTGAGCACGCCATTGGGATCTTCTGGTATATGAACGGGAGAAAGTAAGGTGTTCTGAGCGGGGTCGTAGTTCGGATCTGGCCTGTTGCGTTCGGTATTTGTTTGTTCAGATTGTTGCGGAGAGACTATTCCTCTGTCATATGCTCTGGGCCTTGGTCTTGGTGTCGAATCTCGCGGAACTCGAGGACTCCGACGTCCTCTTGTGAATGAGCTCGCGAAAGCACGGCCAGGCGCTGCCACCGACCTTATAAGAGGTGTTCGTAGTCTTGAGCTCCACATAAAGATCGCGACTGGAGGGGTGTAAAGGAACAGACTTGAAGTCAGTTGGTTTCTTGAGAGCTAAGTAAATTCGCTTGTGACTGCCGACTTCTACGGATGAAGACGAACACCTTTGGTATTTCTTGAGGAGAAAGGTGGAACAATTATTGTCGAGCTGTGGCGGAGGAAAGAGGAATAATGACGAACTTCGTTATCGCACGGGATTAAGCGGAGATAAGAGACCACGCAGAAGAAACCAGAAGAGCTTTAAAGATCAAGTGTCATGATCATAGCATTGAACCTGTCATAAATCCTACATGGCTTTGAGGAGTCCGAGACGCATTCAGACGCATTCCAATTCTCTATGGCCAGAATATATCGTTCTCGCTCGACTGGAATGTGTCGCAGGACCGAGCTCATCGCAGTTCCACATTGGGGCTGCGAAATGAATGGCTGAGAACGCTGAAATGAGATTGAATATATGTGCAGCATAAAGTCTCGCTGAAAGAAACACTCTTTTCTCCTGCTGTTGATGCCCTACTCAATTCGTATGTTTACAATAGACCTTTCCGAGCCAACTCAATCTTCCGCGCCGCCTCCCCAGGCTTGTAGCCTCCTTTCGAGATGCAGACAGCACTTCCTTCACCCAATTCGACCTTATCTTCAACATTTGGATGCGCACATGGGCAATGATGAGGAAAGTCAACACATGCGAGCGTCCCCGGACAGAGGTATTTGTTGCAGTTGGCTGATTAAGCGGCGCAACGAAGGCGTTAGCTATTTTGTCCACAATTTTTGAGTGAGAGGCAAGATCCTGTGGGACAACTCACTTCCTTCCCATAGCTGTTGATATCTCGAACTGTCGCTGGCAGAATTCTGTGTGCCTTGTTGATGGTGTTCTTGATGACCTCCTCCAAACATGTGCTCGAAGAACTGGAATTGCGCCTGAGCGACAGAGGCCAGAAGGAGTAGAGCCCCGAGAGCTTTAACCCAGCTAGAAAGCATGCTGTTGATTACTTTATTATAGAGAGGTAGTCGATCTATATGGAGAAGAAATTAAATATAAAGGAATCAGAAATTGATAGCTGAATTGACAAGAAACCAGTTGTCCGTCGTCCTTGAAGCCAGCTATCTTAAGAGCACGTGACTCTCCGCCAAGATCGGTGGAAAAAGTCGCGGATTTCCAACTGTGATGAGCTTCTGCAGTCCTCGCCGGTTGGGCTTTGGAGCGTCACCACTTTCCGTGCAGACCACAATGTTACAACCCAGACTATTAACGCCCTTCCGGGCGCTCGAACGCACATTTGCCTCTTCCCTCCGCTCGTCGCAGGCGATACACCACCCGTCTCGATCTTCGTTACTATTTCAACGAAACCCCATCTCCGCACCGTCTCCGATCTCGAAATTCCTCCTCCCTCTCTCCCATGTCCGTCACGCCTCTCATGCCACTCAGGGTACCGCAAATCGACACTCCCGTGATCCTGCTGGGAAGCGTCTCGGCGCGAAGAGAACCGGTGGTGAATATGTTGTCCCCGGCTGCATTATCTTCCGACAGCGCGGAACGAAGTGGTTCCCCGGCGAGAACTGTGCGATGGGCAGAGATCACACCATCTTCGCCACGGAGGCTGGCTATGTGAGATATTACCTCGATCCTGAGCGGCATCCGGACCGGAAGTACATTGGTGTCTGCTTCGAGAAGGAAGGAAAGCTACCCACACCGCGGAACGCCCCGACGAGACGGAAGTTAAACAGAATCGCGGTCCCTCGCCTCCCTGATGGCCCCGAAGCCGTTGCTCAGTCAGACTTGGTTGCAACTATTGATAATGGCACAATGGTCTCCAGCGTGGAGGCCGCTAATACTGCCACAGGCCCTCAGCTGCGTCCTGGATACATGTACCGCGAGGCGAACTGGCAGATTGGTCGCGCCGCTGAGAAGGCTGGCGTTACCGCCAAGCCCTATAGGCGCAAGAACCGCTGGCTGGCCTGGAGAAAGAGGCAAGCTAGGGCCGACCGTGCTGCCCAGATGAAGAGCCTTAAGAGCAAGAAGAAGGCTGCGAAGAAGGGCAAGGGTGGCCGTTAGTTAATCGATAAGTTCTCTTATCTTCAGCAACATATTATCGGAGCTGTTTGTATCACTCATCCACGGGATTTTAAGGTGTTTCTTTGTATTATAGAGATTGTCAGCATCCATCAAAGTACCTCAGATTGTATGATGTTTCCGAATCCTCGAAGAAGCAGCAGACAGGATCAGAAGTGTAAATCTGAATTGTATTCGCTATCTAATTTGTTTTGGTGAAGCGAGGAGCAGATGCTCTGCCAAAAAAAAAAAAAAAGGCACTTGGAGAAGTATAGCAGAAGAATGCAGGGGTATCTGTACAAGTCTAGAGCATTGGCCGCTCGCTCCGACTAGGGAATATCACATCCATTACCAAACCAAAAGCCCCAGCTTCCGACCCAGATGACGCACAAAACCCATAGCGACATAGCAAAATAGGAAGGCAAGGAAAGACCGTCAACGAAGGAAAGAGGGAGATATCACTACTCGAACAGCCTCCCGAGTATTAGACTCTGGCAAACAAACTCATTGCCCACTATTCTGACACTGGTACTCAAGCCAATATCGTTGCCATTGATGGACTCAACCAGCTCAATTCTTTTGCGCTTCTTCGTACCTTTAAAGGACTGAGACTTGAGTGTACCGGGCACTGAGGATCCAAGGATCGTGGCTTTCGCCGATGCTATCTCATCGCCGTCGACGTAGATCCAATCCCAGGTGCATCCAGTGCCAGCTGCGGCTTGCTGGTCCAGGCTCGCTCTCGCTGACTTGAGGTCAGGCACGCGCTCAACTTTGGAAGCGCCCAAGGCGTACGTGAGGAAAATGTATGCCTTTCTTCTTTCTTCATCTGATCGCCCACCACGGCCCATGACAAGCAACACCGACTGGTCCTTGAGTAAGTTGGGGCGAGCTGCAATGGTATCCGGCAGTCGCGCTGTTGTAGCCGGATAAGAAGCCAAGAACCTTGATTTCGTCGCGCCATTGAGATATATAGATTCGCCCGAAGGGAGTAAATATACTTCCCAATCCAGGATTCGGTTTTGGGCAATGCAGTCCTCGATCCAACGGTCTGATAGACAAGGGATATTCAAAGCTAGCGCCTGCATGTATTTCGGGCGGCGAGAGTGCTTATCAGCGATGAGGCAAGCGAATCCCACTTCTTCGGCATTAGCCGCCAGACGGAACTGCCCATTGTTACAGTTCGCACCTGGCGCTGGTGATTTTGTCGGGGTAGCAAGCGGTGCGTGCGAAGGCAACTCAAAGAGCTCATTAAAGCCGTCCTTCAAAATGCTCCCATCGTTGTCCAGGATCATCTTCGTGATACGAGATTTGGCTTCATCATTATCACCGTAGGAAACAGCGAACACCATGCCCGCGAAAATACCGTTCAAGAAGCGAATGCTTCGCGGTAACCGTGAACCCGGAGACGCGGGCGTGGAATACCTGTCAGAAGGCGTTTGGAGCCTGCTTTCGGAATGCGTAGCTCCCGAACTGTAGGTGAAAGCTCGATCTTTGAGCTGATTCCACAAAATCGTATCCAAATAGATCCGCGATACGGGAACCTTGATGAGATTGTCAGGCCCTGTCAGCCCACCGGATGGAAGGCTCTTGCGTTGTTTCGGTCCCAGTAAAAGAGTAGTATACCCGTATACATCGGTGATTGGGAGAACTCCGTCAGAGGCAGCCTTTGCGAGGTCCTCGGCACTAACCCTATCCTCAAAGCCGCGAATAATATGTGTCACCTTGGGCACATTGGGCATGTCAACCTTGACAGCATCACCGATTCTCAATTCCAATCGTTTCACAGCGCCCATCGGCACTTCAAGGGGAACGCTATCTTCAAACTTGACCAAGACTCGCGACTGCGAGATGCCGGGTGGCTTGCCGACACAAGTTGCAGGATAATATGCCCGTTTCTGGCCACTCCAGGGAGCAATGACTTGATTCAGCGCGATCGGAGAGTTGTCTCCAAGAATCGGATCGACTTGATCGGAGTCGTCATAGCGCATTGGCTCTGGGGACTTATCCTTCATTTTCTCTCTTTTGTCTTCTGGGACGTCAAGATTTCCCCCACAAAGATCCTCTTTTCCCTCAGCATACACATTCATATTCTCTGCCAATTCCGGCGGGTGAGGCCCTGAGTCTGCCTCAGCACGAGGGCGAGGAAGTTTATTCAACCTTTCTTTGCGGGAGACGTGATATTGAGGAGTATCTTCCACCTCCCATACTGTTCCCATTCGCTTTGAAGATCTTGATCTTCTTAGGAAGCTCGATTCGGACTTGTCCACGAACTCTTCGGTTTGCAAACTCTGTCCCGTTGTCTTCTCGCCATTTTGAGACTTAACAAACTGAGAAGCGATACGAGGCGTGAATGGTAATATCGGATCAGATGCATATACATTCTGTCCATTCCCACGCCGCCTTTTCCTCGGTGGAATCGGGGACGCAGAGACCACAGAACTGAATTCCTTATCATCAGCTGTGAAAATGCCAATATCAACATCGATGAGAGCAGTTCCAGCTTGAGGCGAAGCATCAGCAGCTATCTCTGTTAGCGCCCTGCGCTGTCTTCCACTTGGGCTCGAGAGTATTTTGGCAGTGGCGAAAGGTCTAGCTGGGGTCGAACTCTCAGGAACAAGTGGTTGAGAGTGACCGATGCGCCCTTGCTCAGTCGGATAAGCAGGAGGCAGGTCATCATCCTCTTGATCCATAGGGTCATTGCCCACATCGTCTGTCCAGCTCTGATTGTGCAGTCTGTTCGGGCTGGTCTCGGGAATGCTCGTCGTTGGGATTACATCGCCGAAGCTTTTCGGACGCTGGGGCACCGGTGTTTCAGCCACGCGAGAGGGCATGGAGGAAGGTTTTTCACGAGGATCTACGCTTGTACTCTTGGGTTCGGTTACCTTGATCTTTCGGCTAGCAGGATTGCTAGATTGCGTTGTGGCAACTTCCTGGGCTGAGGATGCATCCCTTGGAAGCTGACTGGAGGAGTCGTGACAGCTCGCTGAGCTGGACCGACTACGCATCGTTGCGCGGTTAAGATGGGCCGCGCGTAGCGCTTGGTCTTGTTCACACTCTGGAGGAGGCGGAGACGAGCGCAATGCTAGAGACTTTGTGGGGGATGAAATAACCCTATCCCGGTCCGAGGAATCACCTTGGTATAGAACCCGGGATAGAGGCCTTTCGCTGTGATGCCACGGACTATTCGTGGCATTCTTATCGTGGTCCCCATCATCTTCTTGCCGAGGAGACTGTTGAGAATCTTTCACAACCATGGTTTCCGACATTTCTTTAGGCTCGCGTGCTTTTCGGTCAGGACTACGAGAAAGTCGAATATGCTCCTGGGGCAATGAATCGTTGTGTAGAGAAAGTGCCTGAGAAAGTCGATCATGCACAGAAGTTGCACTGGCAAGACAATGTTCCGAAGAATCGTTGCAGTTCTCCTTGTCTTCCTCGGTCGAGAGATTGGGGGCCTGTTGACTGGGTTGAGATCGTGCCAAATCCCCACCATGTTCAGTTTCGGCTTCACTAATTGCACCCGTTTGAAACGCCGTATCAATTTCGTCAGGGTCGGCACAGGATGCAGGGCCTTTCGGCCTATCTGCCTGATCTCGTTGCTTTAATTTGCGGGGTGGAGATGTGGTTTCGTCGCCGGTTCGTCGTCGGCTTAACGCTCTTGCCGGGGCTGCCACTCCAGCAAACTGCGCCAATGCTTCTTGATTGATCGTTCTCTGGCGGAGGATACGCTCGACAAAACTAGGTTCCTTCTCAAACTCGCCGTCGCTCTGATCCTCGGCATATATGTGCTCCGCCGAACGTGTCATCCTTTCTTGCAAAATCCTGTCACGTCTTGCCTGAGACTCTTTCATGCTGATGTATGCCATTGGTGTCTCGGAGCGGTCCTGTGGAAAGGCTGCCGCGAGGGCGTTCAGCGGAGAAGATAGCGTGGTGGCTAGCGGATGACTTTGAATAGGGAGATTTGGGGAAGGTCGATCGGACATGAGGTCGGGCTGCTGGCCATAAACCAATGGAGACGATGGAGCCTGTGTTGCCTTGAACACCTGGCTCAGGGCCATGATCCCACCGCTTGATTGAATGTCCGGTGCAAGAGGATTCTTTGAAACACATGGGGTCTCGGGGTTGGAACGCTCGGTTTGGCCTAATCTGAAGGCTGTCGCTGGTGTGCTTGTCAAGAACCGCTGAGACTCAGGGAAGAGGTTCGGTTGAAAGTGCATCGGAGATGATTCTCCTAACTTGGAGCTGTTTTGCTCTTCATTATCCTCGGCATTAATGATATCGGGACATGTATTCTCGAACCCAGACAACAAATCTAAATGGCCGCTGTCACCCTCGTGCAAAGTCACCAATGTAGCCCGATCCACAATATTGCTGTCCAAAGCATTTCGAGCAGCATCCTTGTTTTGTCTGATCATATCGTCAAACACCGACTGAGAAACGACTTGAGTGTCTGACGGGGCACCGTCCGCAGAACTCATCTTCGCGGTATGACCAATCGGTAGAGGACCTTTGGGGGCGTCTTTAGACGGGGACAATCGTTTCCGGTCACTCAAAGGTACAGCAACATGCTCTTCTCGAGGAATCGACCTGGCCGGTGATTTTTGAACGACTTCCCGGCTAGTGGACGATGCATCAACGTGCGAGGATTCGTTATCTTCGCGGTTATTGTCATCAGATATCTTAGAAGGATGGTAATTAATCGTCTCCAATTCGTCCAGCAGGAGCTGGGATGGTACAAGGTCCTATGAAAGATGATTGGTGTTAGTACGATCAAGATCAGGAACGCCACGGAGTCGCTGTGTCAACTCACTAGCCCCAGCGCGACGCGTTGCAGCTGTGCAATGTCGATGCTGTCCTCTTGTGTTTCCATGATTCATCCCCTCCATAAGATATTAAATTGTCAGACGGGAATCATTCATTGTCCCTATCGGGTCATAAAATGCTGTACAAGCATGCAATCAGCATTATCAGCCTTGCTTCCTGGACCGAACCAGAGAAACACGAAACGCGTAGCGCACGTGACCTTCGAAGCAATATTACTGTTTTAGGAATAGACCGTATATCTGCACAGTAGCAACAACACAGGGAAGCGTCCACTAGTATTATACTACGTCGCGAATTCAGGCTACACAAGGATTTTGTGATTCGCCAAAACTGAATGCCTAGGCAAAGATAGTGTCTGGTCGGGACCAAAACACCAGTCCAGAGACGAGAAGGCGCTTCCTATTTTGTTCCACAATACTGTTACAGTAGGTCACTTCGCAAACCGAAGAACAGCGCCTGTCGCCGATGAAAAGCCAACAGGCTATTCATGGCGTAGCGAATGGTACATAGCCGGCATCGGAGGCGAAGTCAGTCCCGCATGCGATTAGGAACCCACCGCCTGATTAGCGTTTCCCGCACCCTGTATCGAGAAAGGAGAGCCCGGATGTCCTCCGAGTGAATTTTCGAATTGTGAGATCGTGGTGGTGGAACTTCCACGTAGCATACCACCAGGCTCTTCTTCACTTGTGCCTGGACGCGATTCACGCAATGCAGCCACCACCAACTTCGTCCCTGTCTCGTGGCACAATAAGACCTCCTATCTGAAGTTTCAGACCAGTATGAATGTTCATAGGCAGGAATAACCACAACCGCAAACTCGGCGTGGGAGAAAACGGGTCCGCGGTTGTACAGAAGATAATCCACCCCGAACTTCACCCCAGAGCGCACAACCCAGCCTAGGGATCGAAAGTGATGGTAGACAATGTAAGATATCATAAAAGGATCGTCTGGTTTCAGATCAGTGGACGAATCACGTGGAGGATAGTATGAGTTGTGACAGAATAATGAGAGTAAAGATGTAGGAGGAATGATGGCCTTCTGCTGATCGTCGAAGACATGAAGAACCCCAAGCCCGTAGGCAAGGAAAAAAGCCTCCTCGTTCGATAACTGTAAGTGCTCCTCATTATCTAGGGCAGGCTCTTCCTGTGACGTCTCCGGAGCTGTAGCTGGAGCAGGAAGGCGTAAAATTGCCGAGTCTGAGGCAAATTCTTTCTCTTGAACAACAGGTGAAAAGCGAACTGCCTTGCTGGGAGACTCTTGCCCAGGAGACGAGGAAGCCGGGCCATCGTTCTCCTGCTTCTTGGAACGCTGTGACTCGAGCATTCTAGCTTCTCTCGCTTTCCGGAGCGAGAACTTTTCGAGTGTAACGGCTGTGCCACCGGGAGCACCGTCTGTGAGTAGCGTCGTCGTCGTCTGGTCGACGGTAGTAGCACCACTCTCACGTACCGCAGCTTCGGCCTTCAATCTCTGCTCAATTGCTACCTTCTCCATCCTCGCTCTCTCGAGTTTCAGTTCACGCCGTTCTGTTCTGCGCTGGCGTGTAAGTTCCTCATTGGTCTGGCCACCGAGCAAGCCCCTCCGTTTCTTCTCCCGTTCCAGCCAACTAGGCTGACTTCGGCTTAAAGTGCCCTTTCCAAAGAACCCCATCTCCCACAAGGCTTGGATAGCCTTTTCATCCGTGACATGGACGGAGGACGTCGCGGAATCGAAGTAGGCGGCATAGATTTCTTGGTGAGGTGGAGAGATAAAGTAAGTCAAGTAAGACAGCACCACGCTGATGAGCGACAGAGGATTGTGAGGAATGAGAGGTGGTAGAGGATGGACGTTGAGGGGAAGAGGAAAACGGTGGATGTGCTTGTAGTTAGGCTTCGGAGGCCTGGAGCGCTGAGCTGAACGAGCATTATTGCGTGGCTCGGATTTGGCGGGAGATCCAGCGAGCTCGGCAGGTGAACTAGGGATTGGTGTGGACGAAGAGGCCATGATTAACGGAATTGATTCAATTACACTATATCAATTAAGATTTCTATCTACCAAGCGAAGAGTCAGCTCGAAGCTTTCCATCGCAGATCCCCTTCGCCAACACAACGCAGGTGAAACAAGTTCTTCTCCTCAGATACCGTTGTAGTCAAAACAAGCAATCACTGACAACAGCTAGAAATCAAAGTGCCATTGCCTAAGCTTGAAAATATGGTGTCATCACCGGAGAGAACAGATGTATACCCCTTCAAGTGCTGACCGAAGTAGTTATTGCTTACCAGAAAAGACGGTTTTCTGGGCACTCAGTGCTGTGGGAGGGCAACGTAGTATCATGAGGCCTTCGCCAAAATTCGTGTTGATGACTAGATACAATTTGCAGCTAACTCAAGAACTCCATCGACATCTTGTTGGAATTCGAATATGAGCAATGATCATCATCATACTATCGTCGTAATTTGGATGTGCGTTGAGCTTGAAGATGGGAAGAGAAAAGTAAAATTTCGCTTCGGCGTCGACGCAAATAAAAATGTAACCGGAATGACTAAGCGAGCTCTCATTGGTCTGAGCTCTGTACTCTCCGCCGAAAAAAATTCCTCCACTTTATCGATTCGAATTATCACGAGGGTAATACAGACAGTTATCGATCATAATTATCCTTAGAACCGCTTCTTGGCCTTATTCAAAAATTCATAATTCAAGTGAGTTTGTCTCTTCTCGCCCTTGCGACATTTCTCTTTTCCTATTGTCTCTAAGTAACTGACTGCGGACCAGGATGCATCTTATGGTACGTTACAACGGACATCAGTCTCGTCGCGCAGAGGATGAAGCTTTTCTGACACGAATTACGTTGACAGTATGTTCTCGACAAGGACGGTAAGAGGGTTTACACCCTCAAGAAGGTCCTGGTGAGTGCTGCTTGACCATTAGGCGTATCCGACTGACGCTGACCACAACTTCGAATGACAGAACGGCGAGGTCACCAAGTCTGCCCATCCTGCGCGGTTCTCGCCGGATGACAAGTACTCACGGTGAGTTCTAGAGTCGCATCCCGATAAACCTGGTGTAAAATGAAAGGGATTGAGCTAATCTTATAACTCTAATGAACAGACACCGTGTCACCCTTAAGCGGAGATATGGCCTCCTGCTGACCCAGCAGCCTGGTACGAATCTTTTTTCTCAACCGCCATCATCTTCGAGAAACTAACAAATTCGAACAGAGAAGACGAACGCGGCGCTGTGATAAGGGATGGATAGAAGCAATCTGAGTTGGTATACAAAGGGTGTTTTCGAGTCATTTATGGGCGAATGGTGTTATTGTGCGATCTTTTGAGGACAGAAAATTCTGTTTACTTCTTGCTCTTTTAGATAGACACTGTTCATACGAAGAGATGTCAACGTCCGAAAATATGTGCCGCCATTGAGTACGCACATTTTGCTTGATGAAACTTGTCTATGTTCGTTCCGTCGTAGATGTCCGAGAAGCTTTATAAACATGTCGAAGGGAAAATGTACAACCAAAAAATCACGATCACTTTTTGCCTGCCAACCAACGATACCGCGGATGACCAGCCAAGGGCAGAAGACAAGCGAAATGACAGAAGAGATCCGTTAAATCTTGTCGTCCAGATCACAATCTCGCCCTAGATGCAAATGTACTGTAGATGGGATGGTAAGGAAGCTGCGAAACGATTACCGCCGCCTTGAGTTGACATTCCTTCCAGCGCCGACTTTAGGTCTACCACCATGCTTGCTGCGTTCGCCAGTCAGAATTCCTGGTAAGTAATCCTCGTCCATCAAATCCCGCTCCTTTCGGAGTCTTCGACCCTCCTCCGCCGATGCTCTGACATATTCCTTCTGGTCTTCAGCAAGAATGAGCTCCGTTCCCCATCCATCTTTTCCGCCGCCGCCTTTCCACTTTCCACTAGAGTTGCCGTGGGTGGGCTTGGGAACGCTGTATCGGTTGCCTCTATTGTTCCATTGCATATTTTTCTTCAGATGCATCTTGAATTGTCCGTTGGCATCCGTGGTGCAAGATACACGAGTGAGGGTATCTTTACCGCAGCGCGGGCAGAACTGCTTGGTCATGTCTTTTGTGGTGAAGAAACAAGCGTGACAGCGTTTGATGAAGGACTTGAGATGTCGGATCCTCTGAAGGGTAGTTGTAGACAGCAAGTTGAGGTTCATCTGAAGCAGAACATTTTGGCACTATCATGATGATCAGTATTGATTTTAATGCAAGGTTTCCACCGCTTGTAACCGCATTCTGAACATACCGCAAAATCAGTGGTCATGGTTGCGACCTGCATAACCTTCGGCTCGGGTGCTGCAGACGCAGAAATGGACTCATCGCGGGCTTGTCGCTTCTTCAGATTGGAAGGCGTAATCCAGCCACCATCAGAATCAGAGCCATCATCGTCCTCACCTTGAGCTTCGACCTCGGCACCTTCTGCACCGTCCTCATCGACCTCTGCGGTCTCTACGGTCTCTGCCTCTTCCGTAGATCGGGCTGATTCGTCAGCGGTACCGTCATCGTTTTCAAGTGTGGTCTTGCTCAAATCCTCCGCAACTCTGTCAACCTCTGGCACATTCGAAGTCTCTATCGTATCTGCCGCATCGGTTGTCTCTGTTGTTTCTGTGATGTTCGCCTGCTCGGGCTCTTCCACTTTCTTTTCCTCCTTGACCGGCGGCTTGCCGTTCAGCTGTTTTTGACCAGGGACACTTCTCAGTCTCCAGTCGCCGCCGTTTCTCTCGCATTCGACTTCATATGCAAGCGCCAGAACCTCGAGATCGGTTTTACTGAGCACAGCTCTGTCACCAGTTTTTCGAGCGAATTCGCTGAGCACGCTGACACTCTTCGGCGAGGGTGTTCGCTGCCTGAGAAAGGGCAAGTAAAGTGTCTCAACTCTCAAACGAGCATCAGGGTCGCGAATTTCACGAACGACGGACGGGGTAATGAGGAGTTCCTCGCATTGTGTGAGCAATGTGGAAAGAGGCGGGGTATTCTTCAAGATAGGACCGGCATCAAGAATGATCGTGTGGACCGGCTTAGCCGGGGTTGATGAGTCTGCCATCGTTCTCACAAGGCAAATGGCAGAATCAAAGGCAAATGAAATACTGCAGGTGCACAGACAGGAGCAGATTGACGATTGGCGGAGGTTGCGAATCTTCTGCTGGTATCGCTGGAATTTTTGACTGGTCTGTGCGTTATACTTATCTTAGCGCGGTCTTATCAGTTCGTCAACTGGTAAAGCAGAGGCTCTCCGTTCAACCACTCCCGATGGATCAATATTATACTGAATAGGCACGCGTCCATTGTTATTCGACTAGCTTTTTCTCAGATTACTGAAAGCCATTGACTTTAAAAGTCAGAATGCTACCATCCTGCTCAGAGTCCCTGATCAGAAGGTTCGGAACGGATCGATGCACCTGCATATCAGGGTCAGTCAACTGTTACCAAATGTGTCGATTATACGAACCTGTCGGATTGAGGAATGTTAATAATATATTGCCACCCTGAGGAGAGGTGATAAGGTTCACAGCGAACAATTATTGCGCTTCATCAAGTGCTAAAGTCATACTATTACTACTATACGGGGGATGACAGAATTCCAAGGCTACCAGCATCCTCATCGTTGTTTCCGGATATCGTCCCTTCGAAATCAATCTTTGGATCCGAGGATGATCAGGAAATGGCAGGGTTACGAAATAATGAGCATAGCAAGCCTGAAGAAAATGAATTCGCAACGATGTGACGACACACAATTCGGCTGATTCTTGGATGTGACTGATTAGGTCGAACCTCTTCTGATCTCACAATCGACCGTTGATCCGGGTCTTCGAGACCTTTTCCCCTGCAGGCCTGTTCTTAGACAAAGTAAAGCCAGTGACGAAGTGACACGTCCGGTTTATTCGAGACCACGGGTGTCAAGCTAGAGGAAGGTGAACTTAAAAGAAGGTCATTACGGAGTACGTCGGCCGTTGCACATACAGATATGCAATATCTTCCAATCTTTCTTGAAAATGTTTCAAATCAATAGCAATCAGTCATATCATGTGACGAAACCTGTAGAAGAGATAGAAGACAACAGTCATGAGCATGGAGGTAACAAGGAGCCAGGCGATGGATATCGGGTTATTGGTCGACAAGTCCAACACAAAGCACACAGAAAAAGCATAACCAGAAAAGCTACCTCTTAAAGGGAGGAACTGTGGTCTATATAAGTAAGATGATCTCAACCGAAACAGACGTGTCTGTATCCCAATGGAAAGAATCACAAAAAACCGAAAATCTAAAAGTCGGCAAACTCCTTGTCGACTTCCTCAAAGTGGTCAAAGAAGCCCTTGAACAGTTTCACGCCCAGGCCAGGATCTAAGCTACCCGTTGTGGCGCGAATGCTATGCATACTCAGTTGCGGGATTCCTACATCAATAGCCCTCATGCCGATGCGAGCGCTGGTCATGGGTCCGATGGTTCCTCCGCTCCGAGAATCGTTGCGGATCTGGAACACCTGCAAAGTACAATCGCATCGGTCGGCAACCCGCTTGATTAAGCCGTAGCTGACACTGTCAGTCGTCATGTGGCCGTTCGAATCGGCGGAGACGGCCACGCCCACGTTGAGCCGCGGGGCATGGTTCTCCAGGTAGACGTTCAGGAAGTTAGGGTTGACGGCGTGAATGACATCTGAGGAAACGAAGAAGCTGTTGGCCACTGTCTGGGAGAGGAGATTGGGCCCGTAGTTGGACGATGCAAAGGCTTCCGTGATGCGTTCAATAACGCTGCTCATAAAGTTGGATCTGGCGCCCTGGCGCAACAAGCTGCCTATCTCCTCATCGTCAAACATGCCAACCATCTTAATCGACCCTGTCGATGTGTCGTCTGAAGAAGCTAGCAGCGCCTGCTGAGCGGCGTAGCAGCACAATTTGTCGTCGATGCGACCGGCGAAGATCAGGTCCTTCTCCAAGCCACCAAGGCGAGCTGGTTGACTATCATAAAGCTCCAGCTC